CCCACCGCCCCCATGCCCTGGCCTGCAGCTCTCCCCGTGGCCCTTCCTCCTCGGTGGGGTCTCAGCTCATGTCTTTCCTGACCCTTGTAGCCCAGGCAAACTCCCTCGCTGACCCTCTCTAATTAACTGCTCTCATTTTCTTCTTTGTAGTAACATGCCACTACCTAACATTCCAGTATTTGGGGATTTACTGTCACCAACACTAGAATGAGAAATATGTAGCCACTGTTTGTGAAATGAATGAATCTCAAAATCTGTGACCTAAGTACTATTATGCCCATTTTTCAGATCAGGAAGCTGAGGCTCAGACATGAAGTCAACTCTCAGGGTCTCCTAGCTACCACGCAGTGGGCTTTGGGTTGAACTCACGTCGTCTCAGGCACAGCAGCCCCACAGAGACTCCCAACTCTAGCAGGACAGGGACATGAGGCGTGGAGGAGAGAGAGCACAGGGCACCCCCTTAAAAACTGCAGGGGCACGGTTCACAGCCAGGCCCAGTCCAATGGCTCCCCAGGCCAGTTCGGGGCTGACCCAGGGGTTCAGAAAGGCTGCCTTGATCAGGAAACCGCCGCAGCGACCGCGGAGCATTTGCTATGTGCCAGGCCCTGCGCTGAGGACTTCACACCCCTCATTTTCTCCTGGCAATCGCCCTGTGAATATCCCCATTTTATAGATGAGGAAGCTGAGGTTGAGAGATTCAGGAACTTACCTAAGACCCTGCAGCTGAGGGTGGAGACAACCGGAATTTGAACCCGGGTCTCCACTTCAGAACCGCCTAGGCAATCCAGACCCCAGCTGGACCAGCTCAAGCCCCAGATTCCGCGGCCCAAGGGAAGGGGACTTGATGGGGAACAAACTGTCACGTGGAGAAGGAACACTCATGTGGCATGAAAAGACACACCTCACACAGGTGACAGGTGTAAAGACAGGCTTTAATCTGAAGAGCAACGAAGGTGCCAAGGGCTGTGGCCCAGGGGCCACAGGGAAGGAGGGGCCAGGAAGCTGCGGTTGGGACCCTGGGAGGGAGGGAGGGAGGGACTGAGCCTTTCCTAGGAAAACTATTTCTGTGACTATTGCAGCTCGTGTCCCAGCCTCTGCCCAGGCCGTTGGCCTAGACCTGAAGGCCAAGCCCCTGAATCGTGCTTCTCGGGTGCTCCCCCTTCCCAAAGGCTGTGTGGACCCAGATATGGGGAGGGGGCAGTGGAGATGGGCCGACCTGGGCTTGGGCAGGGAAGAGTCTGCGAGACCCAGGCCTGGGAGCAGCCCCCCCGCAGAAGAACATTCTGGAACTGGCCTGCTGCTCCCAGTACCCCCTCACCCCCAAGGTGGGCCTGCCCGGCCCAGCCCCTGCCGGTCGGAGCCCATTCTGGAACTCCAGCAGGCAGACTCCCGAAGGGAGTGGGCTGCTGTTTTCGGAGCCCTCCTGCGGCACACTCACCCACCGCCCAGCTAGAGGGGCAGCAGCAGCGAGGGACGTTGAGGGTGAGCCCAGGTTCTTCGAGACCACACTGGCCCCGAGCCCACCCCGCTTCCTTCAGAGCTTCTGCCACCCCCTCCCAGCCAGGGAGAGCTCTGGAAAGGCAGGCCTCACCCAATCCTCCGGTGAGCTGGCCCTGCCGGCGCCCTCCAGAGGCCACCCTTGAAGCAAAAGCCAAAGAGCAGAAAAGCAAGGATGAGGCACTGGACACAGGTGCCCACAGGCCCAGCGGGCAGGCGTGAGGACGAGCTGGGAGGGTCACCGGCCAGAACAGCCAAGGCTTCTCCCTTCCCCCCCCCCCGCCCCCCGGTAACCATAGATTGTTTTCTACATCTGTGATTCTATTTCTGCTTTGTAAATAAGTTCATTTGTACTATTTTTTTAGGTTCCACATATAAGCAATATCATATATTTGTCTTTCTCTGTCTGACTTCCTTCGCTCAGTATGACAGGCTCTAGGT